AATTTAGTTGCTCTTGATCTTTGGCTCCGTCTTGCATGTTGAATTGAAATTATTGCTCAAGTCATATTTAGTCCATGTTTGACAATCATTATTTGAAAACTATTTTTTCTACATATTTATTTTCAACTACACATTCACACAATAAAATATTTTGCACGTAAATTCAATTTTTTTCTTACTTTTTAATCACACGCTATCCTAAAAATTATTATTCGAAACATCTTTTTTACCAAAAAATAACCATTAAACAGAGGCTTATAATACTCAAATCGCAATTTACAAAAGGGAAATTTGCACTTTTTGTCTCAAACATTGCAGAATGTAACAAATCTACTTTTAACTCTTTTTTTAAAAGGGATAATCCATCTATAATCTTTAAATATGTAATAAAATTTGTCATTTTGTACATTTTGACCATTAAATGATGAATTCTCTTTAAATAAATAAAAATAAAAAATCAGTAAAATGACAAAAACTAAGTACAAATTGAGTTACGTAACTTTTAAAAAAGGACACATAAACCCGAGCTATAATAATTAAGTACATATTAAAACATAAAAAAGAATTTCGAAAAATTTCATATTTCCCAACTAAGATGACCAAACACCCATCCCCACCACCCCATCCATCGTAATCTACCCCTATTCACAATCAAATATTACTTCCACAAATGCAATCGACGTCAACATCTCCACCACCATCATAGAAGAATTAATTCATAAAAAAAAAGAATAAAAATTTAGCAGTTTAGATAGCACAATCACCATCACCATCACCATCACCATCACCACATAGCTTCGATCTAGTATACTTTGTTTGATTTCCATTTTCCCAAAATGCATTTTTCTATTTTCTTTTCAATCATACATTCTTCATTAAAGAAATATTAAATGTAAATAAAAATTGTTTCTTTATTTTCCAAGGACATATTTTTCATTAATATACTATTTTAAAATACATTTTTTTTCATAAAAATGAGGCTCAAATACCCTCTAAATTTTTATAAGGTCTATCTTTTTGTGAGTTAATTTGTTTAGAGTGGTGGTGGTGTTGTGACTGGTGTCGTCATCGTTGACGACTTGATTGCATCTATAGATGTGATATTTGATCGTAGATGGGGTGACTTAGGCTGGGTGGGATGGATGGGTGAACATAGATGGGGAAAATGAATTTTTAAATGAGTTAATAAAGCCCTTATTTATCTCCTTTATTTTTAAAAAAACATTTTTCTTTATATTCTTTTAAAGCATATATTTTTTAATAAAATAATATTATACGCAAACCTAACTTTTTTATTTTTTAACTGTACGTTCTACATCAAATATAATATTTCAAATTGCATTCTATATTTAATAATTTTAATTCAGATTTTTTGTTACGTTCGAAAAGTTATGTGACTTCATTATATTTATATTTTTTCTTTTTTATTTTTTGTTTATTTAAATAAAATGACAAATCCAACACTTAATGACGAATAAAAAGATTTAAGGTAGATTTATTAGGTTTTGCAAAGATTGCGGACGAAATTACAAATATCCCTTCACAAAAGACCCGCCATCAACCTCTGGCGTTTTACACCAACCACCGCTGGCAAATTTTCTTACTCTCCCAGCACTCACGCTCCCTTAGCCACGTGTTTTTACCCACTTCTATCCCATCGCCGCCGTCTAAATCTAGTCCGGCGATACAGATATTTATTTATTTCTATTTATTTTCACATTACCCATCTTTACCTCTGATTTATTAGGTTTTGCAAAGATTGCGGACGAAATTACAAATATCCCTTCACAAAAGACCCGCCATCAACCTCTGGCGTTTTACGCCAACCACCGCTGGCAAATTTTCTTACTCTCCCAGCACTCACGCTCCCTTAGCCACGTGTTTTTACCCACTTCTATCCCATCGCCGCCGTCTAAATCTAGTCCGGCCCAGCACTCACGCTCCCTTAGCCACGTGTTTTTACCCACTTCTATCCCATCGCCGCCGTCTAAATCTAGTCCGGCGATACAGATATTTATTTATTTCTATTTATTTTCACATTACCCATCTTTACCTCCCTTTATAGCGGTTACGGAAATTGCTGCAATTAATATTTATTTGTGTTTTGATCAGCTTCGATCCGCATCATTACTTTTCGAAGGTTTACTTTTACTCTACCTGAATAGAATAAACAGCTGAATTTTTTTTTATCTAAAATTTGTGTTGTATTGAATAATGATCTAAGTTTTTTCAGTGTACAGAGATTTGGTGATGCTTGGTTGCGGGATTTATTGACGATCATCAACGATTTTGAGAGGTTTTCGGTGATCGGTAACTTTCGATGTCTGGACCGCTGGATCGATTTGCGAGGCCTTGTGAGTAAATCGTTTATTTCTTGTAATCTTGTTGATTTTATATAAAATTGGGTTCAGCGATTGCTTTCTGTAGGAACCAAATGTAATTATATTTGTATAATTAGAGCTTCTGTCTATGAAATTCTTTAACTTGTTAAAATGATTTTTGTTTCGAATTGTGTTTTATTTATTTATTTGCTAGTATGGGCAGTTTCAAATTTATTAATAAAACTGAAGAATTTAGACGAACTTGGGATGGAGTTGAACTTTTCTACTATTTTTAATGAAAATTTCTGGATCAAAATTGTGGTGTTACTTCTTGAGGTTTGTAAAGACCTCGTACTCTCATATTTGATTTAGATATTTCTTGTTGCTGCAGCTGCAATGCTGTATTTATTTGTAGTCTGTTTGTTTCTTAATTGGAAATGTTTCTGTATGTGTGTGACTGGTTTTAAATAGCATGACTAGAATTAATTATCATGGAGAGACGCAGAGCATCTATGACTCCATTCATGGAGCTAGGTTATATTCTCTAGACCTTGTTTTCCTTTCCCTAGAAATATTATTTTAGAGGTGGAAGTATCAGTACCTAAAAATTGTGCAATCTTAATAGAAAAATATTGGATTGTAATGTGACGACCACGAAGTCCCGTCCCAAAATAGCCAACTTTGAACCACGATATGAGATTATTAGTTTCAAAAAAAGCTGAATACTATGTTTTCTGATAATATTTTATTTTATTCACTTAACTTTGAGTTTCTTTTATGAATCACGCTGTCATTATCTTTAATTAAAATGATTTTTTATATTCATATTTGCTTTCCACATGGTAGGCTTTGAGGGCTCATCAGGTAATGATGAGAGAAGAGAAAGAAAATCTGATTTTGAGAATTCCGAAGATGAAAGGAGGACAAGAATTGGTTCCCTGAAAAAGAAAGCACTGAATGCATCATCAAAGTTTAAACATTCTCTGAAGAAGAAGAAGAAGAAAAGTAGAAACAAGAGCAATGGTCGAGTCAGCTCCGTTTCAATTGAGGATATCCGAGACGTTGAGGAACTAAAAGCTGTGGATGAATTCCGACAAGCCTTAATTTTGGATGAGTTATTACCAGCAAAGCTTGATGATTACCATATGATGTTGAGGTTCCCTAATCTTTTCTCTTTGCTACTTTTTCTTAAATGCATACAAGTATTAATGAAATCTATAAAGTTCATCCTGGACCATCATGTTGTGGGAATTGATTTATATTAAGGGGAGGTTACTGAAAAATTACCATTCATATGGCTGGATTATTTGCCGCATTTTGAACTAAAATCGCTAGTCTCACTAATTTGGATGTATGCACTCTTTGACAGAAGATGCATAGGTATAAAAGTTTTTCCATGACACACCTGTTAGGATCAGCATCCCCAGCCAAAACCATGTTTGACTCTGTTGTGATAATGACTTCCTATAATTCTTTTACAACTCTCTCTTGTTATAAAGCTAAACTTTTTAGTGAGAAAAATATGTCCGTTTCCTAAAGCAATGTTAATTATATAGTGTGAGACTGTAAGTGATTCAGACTTGAGGGATTACTTTTCCTGTTAGGAGGGGGAAATTGAAGACAATCTGATAGATTAATGTTTCTTGTAAAATTTTAGAACATCCTTGGAGGGTTGGCAGTCACACTACTAGCTTCATCCTTTTGACCTATTTCACACACACACATGACAATGGACATAAGCATATTAATGTAGCTTTGTGTTTCTATTTTACGATTGTTTGGTTCTGTTTCTGATTTCCCTTTGATTCAGTAATCTGTCAATCTTTTCTAAATTATAGACAAAACTGCTTTCAGGTTTTTGAAAGCAAGGAAGTTTGATATTGAAAAATCCAAGCAGATGTGGGCTGATATGATTCAATGGAGGAAAGATTTTGGCGCTGACACAATTATGGAGGTAATAGACCTGAAAATTTTCAAGCTTGCTTGTAGACCTGACAAATTTCCTGGTTTCTCTTAGTGAAGATTATCTTTTCGGAATTATGATTTGTTTTCTTCCAGGATTTTGAATTTAACGAGTTGAATGAAGTTTTAAAGTACTACCCGCATGGTTATCATGGAGTTGATAAGGAGGGAAGGCCGGTGTACATTGAGAAATTGGGGAAAGTTGATCCCAATAAACTTATGCAAGTTACGACCTTGGACCGTTACATAAAATACCACGTGAAAGAGTTTGAGAAATGCTTTGCAATTAAATTTCCTGCTTGTACCATTGCTGCCAAAAGGCATATTGATTCAAGCACGACAATTTTGGATGTCCATGGTGTGGTATGATTCGTGCTCTTCGGTTTTCTTTTTTTTTAATTTTATTTTTACAAATTGTCATTACAGCACATACATTTTTAGTCATCATTCATTTCTACATGTAACGTGTCTTATTGTTAATTTTCAGGGTTTGAAAAACTTTACTAAAAGTGCTCGTGAACTCATTATACGGCTTCAAAATATTGATGGAAATAATTATCCTGAAGTAAAATTTTAGATTTTTAGCTTGATCAGCGCTATCAGTCTTTGCAAAGTCTCGGGTAGTGATATATTGTACTTCAAATTTTTGCAGACACTTCATCAAATGTTTATCATTAATGCTGGTCCAGGCTTTCGACTACTGTGGAATACTGTGAAGAGCTTCCTGGATCCCAGAACCACTACAAAGATTCATGTATGTCAATATTCTTCCTTTAGTCGTTTGGCAGCGTTGTTATCCGCCTTAAAGCGACTGACTGCAACTCGAATCTCTCTATTTTCTGAAATTTATCACAGGTTCTTGGAAATAAATACCAGAACAAGTTACTTGAAATAATAGATTCCAGGTAAACGGGATCGCTCTCGTTAGAGTTGACAGTCATCCTCTTGCTTATGATGACATTACTGTTGAATTCTGTTTGAATGACTGAATTTGGTTTTGTGGGTTTATGCAGCGAGTTGCCAGACTTCTTGGGAGGAATGTGTAGTTGTGCAGATCAAGGGGGTTGCCTGCACTCTGATAAAGGACCATGGAAAAATCCCGAGATTCTAAAGGTCCTTCCCAGCCTGCTGAAAGTTTTTATATTTAACATAAAATGAATGCATTACGTGTATTTTCCTTGTCAGCAGTTGTGGTTAATGTATTGTTGATTTATGAAAAAATGATCTCTTGACATCATGGTGTAGATGGTACTCAATTGTGAAGCACTACGTGCCAGGCAGGTTGTAAAAGTTCTTAACAGTGAGGGGAAGGTTGTTTATGCTAAACCACACTACCCAATGGTATGGCCTCTGTTTCTTTGTGAATGGTATGTTAGATTTAAGCCAAAAGATCTTGGAATCATTTGATTGTTGAAGCAGGTTAAAAGCAGTGATACTTCTGCTGAGTCTGGTTCTGAAGCTGAAGATATTGCTTCACCAAAGGCCATCCGAAATTATTCACATCTTCGGTTGACTCCTGTTCGTGAGGAGGTAATGTTCAGTTCAGGGATCATTTTCACACAAAGAGATGTTTCAGTTTTCTGTGGTTGGGAAATATAAAATTGGAGGTGGCTTAATTGAATACCTCTTAATTTTTGTTGAGTTGATCTGGGCATTCGTAGAATTTATTCGTTGCCATAGTTAGGGAAAATTTCAGCGGAAACAACTTTTTGTTATTATAGTAGGTGGATCAAAATTGACTCTGCTTTTTGTAGTCTCCAATGTCAAATAATATTTGACTTCTTGCACAGGTCAAGGCCGGTGGGACACCAATCTATTATGGTAACTTCTCGGGATATGATGAATATGTTCCCATGGTTGACAAGGCTATTGATTCGGTATGGAAGAAGCAAGTATCCTTTCAGAAGCCCTGTGTCACAAAAGGTTGGTTTCTGAAGTCCATGGTTAGAAGTTTTCTGATCAGCATTTGTTTGCCTATATCATTTAGAATTCAAAACAGTCATCCAATTCCTGCTGTGAATTATATTATTTTTTGAATATTGATGTGTATCCATGCCCNCCCCCCTGGAACATAAGTACATACATTTTGCAAAGAAATTTTACACCATGTTTCTGTAAAATTTGTCACCAAAACCGTGATTGTTGTCAGTAAGAAATTCATTTACCTTTACCTTTGTTTGCATAGATGAGCAGTCCACGGTTGCACAAATGACCAGAAGAAAAGATTTACAAAATTTATTAACTGCCTGTCTATTTTTGCTTACAGCTATAGGCTGGATAGTTTTTGTTCTCTCTTTTACATTTTTCTTGGGGGTCATTTATCAATTTAGCCTGCTGTAAATGATTAATTTCTGTCATTTTGGTAGGATGTACAAATCCTTTTCTTGTCCAGAGAAATAAACAAATGAATCTGATCTAGTATCAGAATAATCTGCCTAGAGTGCTTTAACTGATATTGGCCATTCTTTTTTTCATTCAGAAACGGTTCTTTCACCTGATTCACAAAAGGCTCCAGAAGGACTACGTGCTCGGATTTTAACCTCTCTTATGGCATTCTTCATGACCCTTTTCATGCTCTTCCGCTCATTATCATGCTGTCTCCTGAAAAAGGTTCCTGATGCATCATCACATCAAGAATCAACCATTACGGAAAATGCCTTTGACACAATCCTGAAGGAGGAATTTCGACCACCATCTCCAACACCAGCATTTTCAGAGGGAGAAGTGCTGTCTTCTGTACTGAATAGGTTGGGCAAACTTGAGGAGAAGGTCAATGCTCTTCAAACAAAGCCATTTGTAATGCCTTGTGAGAAAGAAGAACTGTTGCATGCTGCTGTTTGTCGAGTGGAAGCCCTAGAAGCAGAGTTAATTGCAACCAAAAAGGTAAATTCTATTTTAACAGCACTACTTTTGCAACCAAAATCCATTCTTCTGTGGCAAATTAGTTTCAGTACAGTTGTACTCTGCATTCTTGAGGATTTTCTTTAAGCTAGATTTTCATGTTATGCTCCCCTTTCTAAAGGCACTTGAACTGATATTGGATTGGATTCTCTCCTGGGCAGGCTTTGTACGAGGCTTTGATTAAGCAAGAGGAGCTGCTTGCTTATATAGATAGTCAAGAAGAAGCCAGACTTCGGGTGAGTTGATCAGTTCTTTGTTCTTGATATTTACAATAGAAGTTTTAACATTTAAAATCAAGAGCTTCACTCTCTCTCAAACATGCACGTGACTACTTACTACTGTGTTAATCTGATCCTCCTTATGAATCAAAATATTGCGAACACATGCACATACTACAGTATGCATATCTGTCCTGTCTCAGTCATTCGCGCATAGGAGAGAGTGCGAGAGATAGATCAACCTTATTGCGTGAATGAGCACGTGTATGCAACGTAATTGTAGACTAATGACTTCCTGCTGATAATGATGGTCCTGTGTGCAGAAAAAGAAGTTTTGCTGGTAAGGTGTCAAGTGTGGAGCTTTGATGTTCCAGGGATATGTTTGCTGTGTAAATTTCGTTGATGTTGGATTTCCATCCTGTCTGAGAAAGTGGATTGAGCACATAAACTTCCAGTTTCTGTAAAAAAATTACTGAAAGGTTTTATCAAGCATGTTTAAACTCTCTCTCTCTCTCTCTCTCTCTCTCTCTCTAATATAGCAGAACAGTTTAAAGAGCAAAAATAAGTTCAACTCCTCTACTAGAACTGTGTAACAAACATGCTTTTAGTGGGAATGTAAAGGCTTATTTAAGAAACAATATATACCATCACTGGTGGATGCAGCATCTGGCGAGCCCCCGCGGCCGCGCGTGCTGGATCCGTCGAGAGCCATTAGAGAATAGACAAATATTTAGGATAAATTACTAGTAATTCATTTTCGTTTCAACCATTCCTTCTAGCCAAGTTGGCTAGCGCTCTCTCTCTCTCTCTCTCTCTCAAGTCTCTAAATATAGCAGAACAGTTTAAAGAGCAAAAATAAGTTCAACTCCTCTACTAGAACTGTGTAACAAACATGCTTTTAGTGGGAATGTAAAGGCTTATTTAAGAAACAATATATACTATCACTGGTGGATGCAGCATCTGGCGAGCCCCCGCGGCCGCGCGTGCTGGATCCGTCGAGAGCCGTTAGAGAATAGACAAATATTTAGGATAAATTACTGGTAATTCATTTTCGTTTCAACCATTCCTTCTAGCCAAGTTGGCTAGCGCTTGCGTTTGTTTCTTAGATGTCCCAGGTTCGAAACTTTTGTCCACCAATATATTGTATAACGTTTTTAGTTATACAAATTTTACCAAAAAACATCGAAATATGAAGAGGACCAATGGGGAATCGAACCTGTGAGGCTTTCAAAGATATTTTGAAAGATTGAACATCATGACACTTGGTGAGTTTTGATATTAAATTTAAAAAACTAATATATGTTAGGTTTTAGTGTTTCAATTGTAAAATTTCTAACACTGTGCTCTTCCTTTGAATTATACGAAGCAATAATGTCATTTGGTGAGTAAGATTTATTCTTATTACGAAATTATATATGTTCAACTTTTAAAAAATAATTATTTTATTTAAATTTTAAGCTTTGTTTGATTCCCATTTGGTTCATAATACAATTTTCTTTCCCTTATTTTCGATTAAACATTTTTAAATAAAATAATATTGCGCGCAAATTCAATTTTTTTTCTTATTTTTAAGTACATATTCTCCATCAAATCACTATTTCAAAATGCTTTTTTTTTTTTTTTTTTGCAAAAAATGACATCAAACGAGCTCTTAATATTTTATTACGGCCGACGGTTCACAATCGACGGTCAGCGGCCGTCCGTGCTGACTCAACATCCTGGATTCGTCCCTGTATGCTACGTAGGAATGCACATGACAATGTACAAGATTTAAACTAATTTTTCTTCTTTAATTTAATTCAATCTTGTAATGTACACGGTCTTTAAAATACATATAAACATTAGCAAACGCCAGTATATTTTTTGGTGTCTGGATATTAAAAACACCAAACCTACGTCTTACGAAGATTATGGTTTCTGCCCACAAAAGATGAAGAATCTCTTCTTCTTTTTCTTCTCAGTGTAGGCAGTGAGACCCTTTTGTTGAAAAATAGTATCCTCAAGTGCCTGCATTTGCATTATTAGATGCATAAACGAACGTCTAGAGAGAACCAGATAATCAGAAGATATATTGTCCATCGGTGTGCCACATCACCAGTGGGATCCAAAGTACTAGTGATGTGGCAACACCTCAAATCAACTGTGGGCAACAGATCTCCTTTCCATGGTGGGCAGGAGATCAAATCTGAGAGAATCAGATACCTTATTAGTTGCTGAAAGTTCTTGCTCCAAGATATTGACCTGACTTAACGCTGCACTAACCATTTCCTCCTTTTCGGGTGGCATTACCGTTGGCTTATTGCTGAGAACTCTCACCTTCTCTTCTAGTTCATTCATTCTTTTCATCATGTCGATATACAGAGTCCCCGAGATAGCAGGTTCTGGCAATTGGTGTGCATGTTCCTGACCTTTAATCATCTGTCGACAACCGTACGTGGAAGTTGAGTAGAGGGTGGCAGCTATGAGCTTCTTTGGCATTTAGCGTATTATTTGGACCATGGTAACTATGCTCATAACTATGGTCATCACCCTGGTAAAGATTCGGTTCCTAATTCCTTCCAAAGTTTTACAAGCGTTGTGCACGGGGACATAATCAACAGCTACAGGGAGGGGAAAACCTAGTGAATTCACCACATTGTGACAATTTTGGCTTAAAATGGGTTAAACCACAATCTCAATATGCATGAAGGTGCGTGAAACCAATAATAATACCTGTGAGCAATTGCTTAAGATTGGAAGTCAAAAGTAACACTCTGTCTGTGAGTAAGATATATTGGATTGGACAAGACTAGACATGATTAAAAAATAAGTTACAAAGTTTGTTCGTTGTCCTATCTAGTACAGTCGAATCCATCATACTGAACATGTCACGAAGATATCACACGTTTTATATAGATAGAATATCCCGGCTGGAAGTAGTGATCCAGGATTTGTTATTTCAACTATACCTTCATGAGCAAGTTTTTACTGCTTTCGGCCGAGTAGCATCAGCAGCTTTGCCAATCACCGGTACACATTCCTCAGGCTTAATATGCTAAATAAAGGTGAAGATTTCGTGGAACGTTAGTAACTATGCAGTTCAGAGGGAAAAGTAAAGATTTCATTTCAAATCCATTAGTTTCAGATGGCTAATAATACGAGGCAAAATGTTGTAATTTTACTAATAGTGCCAAGAACAGCAAACTAAGCCTTGCTTACAACAAATTTGAGCTTGGTTAAACGAGTAGTTCTGTTACAACTTACTTTTTTATGAATGGGGGACGGCTGTGGGTTTGCTGTGCAGTGATAGGGCTAAAGAGAGCCAAAAAAAAAAAAAAAAAAGGATCTTTTGTAAGGATTATATGAATAGAGATGTCAAGCAACAGTCTTCTCTTCCTGTCACTTCACTTCGGTGGTCAAGAGAAGGAAAAAGAAGGGGTTTGACATCGAAGTTATAGTTTCAATTCCTATGTTAACGAGTCAATCCAGGTTTCTGTTAAAACCAAGAAGCCACTAAATTAAGATTACCTAGCATCAATAATCTCAAGCAGCTTGCTCTGATATTTATTTCCCAAAACCTCGAAAAAGAAAAGGCACAACCAGTCATGTCCCTGAATTTGACAAGAATAAGTTATAATTTGACATTAGCTGATTGTAGCTCACATGAATCTTCACCGTGGTCTTAGGGTCAAGGAATGACTCGACGGTGCTCCTTTCATCCCAGGAAATCTTTATATATTCTGGTAGATAGTTACACTAGTATGCAATCACATCTGTATTTTTTTGGTCAAGTATCTTATTTAAAGGGTTTCATAACTGATTAATTTACTTTGGAAATGAGATTACTGGTTACTTTCAATTATAAAGAACACCAATGCATTCCACTCCTTCTACATCCAAAATGGTCGTGCTCTGGTCGATGTGCTTTTTGGCTGCAATGGAACAGGCTGGAAATTTATCGATAAAAGTCCTCTCGAACTCCTAAATATTGTACTTGAGATAGCGGTTTGTAGTTGTGAATTGCAAGAGCTTCACCGGATCAACTTGACCAAGTCTTTCAATGTAAACAGGTCTCCCGTACTTGTCGATTCCATGATGCCCTTGCGGGTAGTGTTCAGGGAAGAAATGCAAATCGGATGCTTACTAGAATTATTTAGCTCCGAAAACATATACTATACTATTTGGCCATCAGCACATCCATACTGTGTCAGCACCAAATTTCTTTCTCCATTGCATTTGCAGCATATCAGTCCACATTTGCTTTGTTTTCTCAGCATCAAATTTCCTGGCCTTCAAAAATCTGCAGGATCGACAAAAAACAATACAGGCCTCACCGTCAAGAATATAATGTATTCATTAAATGTCGAGTGTTGCCTCGATACAAAATCTAGAATATGAGAAAAGAATAAAGTACACCTTAGCAGCATATGATAGTCATCGTGTTTTTCTGGTAGTAATTCTTCCAAGACTAGTGCTTGACGAAAGGCATCCACGGCCTTTAATTCTTTCATATCACACTCGTCCTCAAGCACGATAGACATAACTCCAAAAACAAAAACAAAAACAAACTTTTAATCACACAGCGTAATATTAGCACTCCAAAAACAAAATAGAGTTTGAAGAAACGAACTTTTAATCACACAGCGTAATATTAGCACTCCAAAAACAAAAACAAAAACAAAAACAAATGTAATATACATTACATTTATGATATCTAAACCATGAGTGTATGTTTGGTACACAATACTGGATATGATACAATGGTCCATCTTAAGATATCAAAATAGACCAGCTTTTTCTGTATGCGCACCACGATTTCAAGAGTTGAGTATCTATAAACTTCAGTTTATTTTATGGTATGGCCCTAGCAGATCTTAACATGGACACAAGTGCATCTCAATATTTCGCCTAAAGAATTTCATGCAGAGACGAGCTTTTAATTTCTGATATTCATAGACAAGATCAGCAAATTGAAAGATTAATTACGATAAATAACTGCGTAATAAAGCTTAATGACATGAAAACACTTACTTGGCCTAAAAGGATGCTCTCGAGTTCTTGAGATATCGTCACTCATGATTGCAGATTGCTACTTTGATCATACAAGACATATATTTATGAAATCCCTCTATTACGAACATGTTGAATGCCTAAATATTTACCAAGAAACAAAACAAAAAACTCATACTAAAAATATATAATATTTCTGTTTGAAAAGAAGACATTATTCCAACACAGAGCCATCTACAAATCGTGGAAATATACATCTAAATGAATAAAATAGATGCATATATAATATGCAGATTCCTTCTTTCTCCCCTTCACCGTGGTCTTAGGGTCAAGGAATGACTCGACGGTGCTCCTTTCATCCCAGGAAATCTTTATATATTCTGGTAGATAGTTACACTAGTATGCAATCACATCTGTATTTTTTTGGTCAAGTATCTTATTTAAAGGGTTTCATAACTGATTAATTTACTTTGGAAATGAGATTACTGGTTACTTTCAATTATAAAGAACACCAATGCATTCCACTCCTTCTACATCCAAAATGGTCGTGCTCTGGTCGATGTGCTTTTTGGCTGCAATGGAACAGGCTGGAAATTTATCGATAAAAGTCCTCTCGAACTCCTAAATATTGTACTTGAGATAGCGGTTTGTAGTTGTGAATTGCAAGAGCTTCACCGGATCAACTTGACCAAGTCTTTCAATGTAAACAGGTCTCCCGTACTTGTCGATTCCATGATGCCCTTGCGGGTAGTGTTCAGGGAAGAAATGCAAATCGGATGCTTACTAGAATTATTTAGCTCCGAAAACATATACTATACTATTTGGCCATCAGCACATCCATACTGTGTCAGCACCAAATTTCTTTCTCCATTGCATTTGCAGCATATCAGTCCACATTTGCTTTGTTTTCTCAGCATCAAATTTCCTGGCCTTCAAAAATCTGCAGGATCGACAAAAAACAATACAGGCCTCACCGTCAAGAATATAATGTATTCATTAAATGTCGAGTGTTGCCTCGATACAAAATCTAGAATATGAGAAAAGAATAAAGTACACCTTAGCAGCATATGATAGTCATCGTGTTTTTCTGGTAGTAATTCTTCCAAGACTAGTGCTTGACGAAAGGCATCCACGGCCTTTAATTCTTTCATATCACACTCGTCCTCAAGCACGATAGACATAACTCCAAAAACAAAAACAAAAACAAACTTTTAATCACACAGCGTAATATTAGCACTCCAAAAACAAAATAGAGTTTGAAGAAACGAACTTTTAATCACACAGCGTAATATTAGCACTCCAAAAACAAAAACAAAAACAAAAACAAATGTAATATACATTACATTTATGATATCTAAACCATGAGTGTATGTTTGGTACACAATACTGGATATGATACAATGGTCCATCTTAAGATATCAAAATAGACCAGCTTTTTCTGTATGCGCACCACGATTTCAAGAGTTGAGTATCTATAAACTTCAGTTTATTTTATGGTATGGCCCTAGCAGATCTTAACATGGACACAAGTGCATCTCAATATTTCGCCTAAAGAATTTCATGCAGAGACGAGCTTTTAATTTCTGATATTCATAGACAAGATCAGCAAATTGAAAGATTAATTACGATAAATAACTGCGTAATAAAGCTTAATGACATGAAAACACTTACTTGGCCTAAAAGGATGCTCTCGAGTTCTTGAGATATCGTCACTCATGATTGCAGATTGCTACTTTGATCATACAAGACATATATTTATGAAATCCCTCTATTACGAACATGTTGAATGCCTAAATATTTACCAAGAAACAAAACAAAAAACTCATACTAAAAATATATAATATTTCTGTTTGAAAAGAAGACATTATTCCAACACAGAGCCATCTACAAATCGTGGATATATACATCTAAATGAATAAAATAGATGCATATATAATATGCAGATTCCTTCTTTCTCCTGGTAATAGCTAATTATTATTTTTTTTATTTTTTGATGACTCATGTGTCCGAACTTCGCTTGACTAATTCTGAAGAGTTGCAGCCTTCCCCCCGATTTGCCACCCGATAATAGCTAATTATTAGGTCTACATAAGCATGTAATCGATTCTCGTTCCTGATATGATATCGAAAATAACGAATGAGCCAAAAGAAAGCCCTTTGTTTGCTGTATTTGCCTTAACAGATATCTCAATCCATTCGATCTATTTGTTTCCTAACAAAGCAATTAATTGCACTGAAAGAACATGAGAAAATAATCTAATAACAAATGAAAGCCCTCTGTTTGCTGTACTTTCTTCAACGGGGATCTCAAACTTTTTCTTTTAATCAATTTATAACCAAGTAAAGCAACGGCTTACACCAGAAGAAAATGTGGAAGTAAAATCATTGTAATGATTTTATGCCAACAACCAATATGTACCATATCAACAAAACCCATAAATCTAAAGAAATATATAGATAGAACTCCATGATAAAAAATGAAAATTTTTTGCTAACATATCTATTATTGTGTATATACATAAAATTTGATCAAAGCCAATTATGCTAATAAACATACAGTATTATTCGAAAAGAAGCTCACAAACGCATAAAGCCCCTGTTCAGTACATATTCTTTAAAATTCATTTTTCCACAAACTCTCCTGATAAAAAGATTTTATATGTCGATCCATAACATTTTACGACTTTTTAACCACATCTTCTTCAAAAATAAAACTTTCACAAAATCTACATCAAACAAGATTTTTGGAAGACATTAATATTATTGGCAATCACAAATACAAACATTCTACATCCCTAAAATCATGATTCAAAACCCATATCTAAAGAATCATTACATGGGCATATAGAGATGAATTGCGGGAGATTTCTTGAGAGAGAGAGAGAGAGAGAGTATTTACCAATAACAAAATATCAGGGGTTTGAAAATGAATGAGAGATTTTTTTTTTAATTTTTTTTAAGTCTGCATTAATATTTTGACAATTTGAGGTTGTAAGGCCATCTCCAACCCAGTACCAAATTTTGCACCATTTTGCACCAAATTTTGCACCAAATCTTGCACCAAACTAAAATTCATCTCCAATCATTACACCAAAAATTATACCAAATGAACAGTATTTAACCATTTTCTTCCCTTTTTTTATTCTTTATAGTCTACTTATTTGAAATATTATTTATTTAATTATTTCAGAAATACATAAATTACTAAATAAATAATTAATTAATCGTGTTTGATGTATTTTAAATTATTTTCATCTTTTAATTAATTAAGTAATTATTATGTCTTACATTTAAAATTTATTTTAAACACAAATAATTATTGATATTAATAAAAATAATAATAATTTATTGTATTAAAAAATATATAGCACAAATTACATAAATACCCTCCACAAATTTATTTGGAAAATGTAAAATAAGGACAAAATTGACATTTTACACTTGCACCATTTTGGTGCAAAATGGTGCAAAGTTTGGTGTTGGGTTGGAGCAATTTTGCACCAAAAAATGGTGCAATGGTGTTGTGGTTGGAGATGGCCTAAGGGCATCTCCAACCATTGCACTATTGCACCAAATTGCACCAAAACTTGGTGCAAACTTCCTCCAACCATTGCACCAAATTTTGGTGCAAAAAATAGTGTAATGGATAGTGTTGCACCAAATATGGTGCAACACTATTGATTTTGCACCAAATGGTGCAATGTCCATTTTGCCCTTATGTTTCATTTTTCAAAGATAGTGGTTAAGGGTATTTGTGTCATTTTCGTTCTATAATAATAACAATAATAATAATAATAATAATAATAATAATAATAATTACTTAATTAATTACACTATTAATTATATTATTAAAGTTTATTATTTTTTAATATAATCAATAATAATTAACGTAATTGTTATTTTAACATAAAGTTTACGTTTAAAGTTTAATTTAACATAAAGTTTATATTATTAAACTTTATTTTTTTTTTAAATTTAACGTAATTGTTTATCATAAATTAATAATATAATCAAATATTTTTGTCAATTTAACATAATATATAAGACATGTGATAATTTAGTAATCAATATATTTGTTAATTTAATTAAGTTATGATTTAGTAATTTATATAGTTATAAAATAAATAAATAAATAAATAAATAATATTTTAAGATAAATACATTGTCAAAAATCGAAAGAATGAATAAAATAATAAAGTACTGTTCATTTGGCGTAAAATTTGGTGTAATGGTTGGAGAAGAATTTTGGTTTGGTGCAAAATTTAGTGCAAAATGGTGTAAAATTTGGTGCAGGGTTGGAGATGGCCTAATAAGGGCTACCCATGATTCATTCCTTTCTACAAAACCACGACTCCATTACTATTTTTGAAGACAGATACAAATTCTTCTCACACAAACTTGAGGAGGGAGAGAGATTCTTGTTTTTCAACTTTGACTCTATGATTTTTCACGTCTATATGTACACCCATGAATTATTATAGATACATCACTCGTTTAATTGGTGGTTTCTTTTCAAATCCCGTGTGTTTCCCACCCAACCTTAACCCACTCTTTCAAAGTCTAAACTAACTTCTCCTTTGCTAGCCAAATTTTTTTTCGGTTAAAAAAAAAAAAAATCTCTAAGCAATTTAGACAAAAACGTTAATGAGAAAGACTAGAGTATGATAGTCATTACATTGCCTAATTTGATGGAAATATGAGGGTTCAAAATTCAGGCAGAAATTACAAAATATATAGATCGAATAGAAATTGTTATCAACTTTGCCCAATTTGACGATAATGTTTGGATGATTATGGAAGTTAATGAAAAAAATGAGAGAGATAATTTGGTAATACAATTGAAAGCAATAGCATATTTGTCAAAAAAATAAAAATAAAAAATGAGGAAGGGAGAACATTAGTTAAAAATCCAAAAATAGTGAACAAAATTCATTCTCACCCTAAAACTATTATGTGGAAGAAATTTCCATTCTATATTATTCAAGAAATAACACTCGTAAACGAAATTCTTTAAGCAATCTAACTATGTAGGAAATTATACAATTAGAGAGATGTTAATAAATTTAATCTCTTATTCCCTCGAATATACATTTTGCCCCGTTTTGTGCCCCTTTTCTGGGAAAAAAGTTATTTTAAGTAGTCATTTTTTTTTTTTGAAAAATGTATAGTTAAAAAGTAAGAAAAAGATTTGAGCCTACATGTAAAATATCTTATTATGTGAATGCGGGGTTAAAAATGAGCATATAAAAAAAAGAGTTTTAAAAAAATAGACGACAAACGAGGGCTTACTATTGCATCAATAATGTTATAAATTGTTAACAATCATGTAATATATTATTTCGTCTCTATATACATATATATTTTCTCTTTACTTATTCATGTATTAAATGCAGCTTATTCTTAGAAATTTTCATGGATAAAGTAAATAGTTTGTCATTGTGATGCTTCCTTAAGTTCATTTTTGTCCCTAGAGGTGTAAAACTAAAATATGAACTTGAGAAATTGACGTCCTTAGATCAGTTTAGGCTCGAATACCTTGACATATGACTTGCAAGGAGTGGCTCTCATACAATTTAATGTTTTCAAGAAAAAAGTACATTGACTTAGTCGTGGGTCGTTTGAGCTCTATTCATTTTGCTTAGTGTTAGTGTTCAACATCTCTAAACAAAATGTTGAATTTGAGCCTCTATTATTTTTTCTACAATAGAAAAAACTTAGATAGGAGCACCACAAAATAAATTGTTTTATGTGCGCCCATTTGAAGCAACTCAAACTAAAGGTACAACCTCATTAACATTCCTTTTATGTCTTGACTAATACATATACATGTTACATAATGTTTTTTGTTTTTTGTTTTTGTTTTTGTTTTTTTTTTACGACCTTGGTTGTACTAGCCAGTTTACGTGTACCTCGACTAATCTCACAAGCCTTGAGTTATATGAATGTTTTGTAGAGACTTGAATTTTAAACAATTAACTACCTTTTTTGTATTGTTTTCTTCAATATCAAGAGTGGAATCTTTTTATATTTTTACAAGCGTTGTTTTTTTTTTTTTTTCAAAAATTGAATTCTTCTTTTATCACAATTTTTATTATTTTGACACTACTGCATTATCACGATGAAATTGTTCATAAATAAAATATTTGACTATTAACTTTCAGTTTGAACTAAAATTAGCAATGCTATTTTATCGCTATCAAATTAATTGTAATATTTTTCTATTAGTAAAGATCTCATCAAATTATACTACTCTTGGTGTATAATGTTGTACAAATATTTTATAAAATCTTTTGAAATTTATTAACCAGTAATGCTGACTTCACCTTTTTAAAATTCCTTTTGAGCATATTTAGCGGTAATCTTTATACGATAAAAACATGAGAATTATGTTAAAAAGAAGGGAAATTAGGACGAGCATTTCAAACCTTACAAGCGATCTGATTATGGATCTCAACCTTAAAAAATGAGGTCCCCAACCTATTTAAGTTTGTAGATTTGTATCTACACAGATCGAATCAATTAATGTGGTGTTAAAATTGCATGAAATTTTCAATTGTATTGAAAAAAAAAAATGTTAAGTTGTTTGAAAATTTTGTCTTCCACTTTCAAGTATGTGAAAGTTGTGTTGGAGACGACCTATAAAAAGGGCTATGTAAGAGTTGATTTTTGATATATTTGTTTGACCAGTTTTAACCTGCAAGAGAGCGATCAAAACACAATTTATATGAATGAAAATTTGGACAGAGTTTCGGTATAACGATTTGCAAAACAAGGATTAAGAAAAAGTAGAAATAGAGAATAATCCAAGGCAAGACGTTATCTCTTTTCTTAAGACAAATAGTTCCGCTACGGTGCTCACAATGAATGACACTTATCTCCTAAGATACAATGGATTCACAACTTGTGGTACAGCACTTCGAATCACAAGAAACCGATGAACTTTTGACAGAATTTTCCCTCTACAAAAGAAATGTATGAAAATGCTATGGAATTAGAAAGGAGAGAATTGCAAGAGGAGAATGAATGTCCAATGCAATTGGTGTATCCAAAATCATATCCATATGGTTCTATTTATAGATGTAAAAAGGGTGCAAATGAAGTAGTGTGGGCCAAAACATGCATCCTTTCAAAAAAGTTGCAACACTTGGTCAAAACCTGCATCTTTTCGAAAAGTTGCAACACTTCATTTCTTTCAACTTTGATCCGCAATTTCTCATTCATTTGGAATTGGTTTCGAGATTTCAAATATACCACGACGAGTAGAATAAGTTGGTCTATTTACTTTTGTAATTTGACCATCGGATCAAGTCTGAATATTTGGTCGAAATTGACACGTAGTCACACCTTTTCTTTTTCACTTTTACACACCCTTTCATTTTCCAATTTTTGGTTAATTATTTGAACAAATTCTTACAATTCCTTACATGAATGAAAATTCGAGTACGCATATGCAAATGCAGTGATATGATGCAATATAGAGAGGGTGAGAAAAAATACTGCATCATGGATGGTGGCTTCTGGCGTTGAACCTCCCTTAATGAAATACTATCGGACTTACTCGGCTAATTGGTGAACTATGTCTTGAACCACTTAGCTTTTGGTGTAAGTCAAGATAACAATACTCACACAGATATCTTCCCTATTCTGTACTTAGTTCTCATGACTTGGTTCATTTTGGCCTTGAACCCTTCTTGATTTCATAAGTGTTTAGAGAATTTAAACCTTAAATAATTCTTTTCGAAGCGGCCCCACTTCACACTTACATAGGTGACTTCCTATTAAGAGTATTCTGCCCTACTCCACTTGACTTAATCAAGATATAGGAATCATTAAAAGATAATCTTAACCTCTATCCACTCTGCAGGAAGCACTTTAGTATCATAGGAATGAGTTA